GATATGAACCGATCCCTCTAACCAACTGAGATATCCTGCCTAAAACTATGGTCGGGACAACAGGATTTAAACCTGCGACCTCCTGGTCCCAAACCAGGCACTCTGATCAAACTGAGCTATGTCCCGAAAAATGGCCTCCTAAATAAGAGTCGAACTTATAACCTCTAGCACCGCAAGCTAGTGCTCTATCCATTGAGCTATTAGGAGTTTACTGGAGGTGTCTATCAGAGTCGAACTGATGTATGTGGAGGTTGCAGCTCCATGCCTTACCATCTTGGCTAAGACACCTTCTTTCCATCTCTGATATTAAATATTGGGAGAAATTCTGAATTAGGAATGGGTGCTCATTGTTTTTCTCTTAGAAGCTTAATTTCATGTTTATAAGGAGAAACTAATACTGACTTTTTAGAAGAATCGTCACTCTTGGGCGATTTTCGCCAAAACGGTGTTTCCACAATAATAGGTAATTTTGAAAAATAAGGATCATATGCTCAATTCAGAATAACCTCTCAACCAATAAATCCGTAACCATAATTGGAATGACGATCTTTTTTCATGCCTCTTTCATTCATCGAATCTCCCAAGTGAATGACCTTAACTCTATCGATGCCCACAAGCTTTTGAAGTTTTTTCTTAAACTCTTCCTTATTTTCTAAATCGTAACCACTATCATGAAGATGACAAGTATCTAGACAAACTCCCAATTTAGGATGTCAATCACATTGTACAATTATCTCCCTTAACTCTTCTAAATTTTTGCCCAATTGATTCTTTTTTCCCGCCATAGTCTCTAAACAAAAAAAATAATCCAGATGTGAAGTACTTTCTAGAACTCTTTTTATATTTTCTGAAACATTATTCATACCTTCTTGAATAGTTAATCCAGTAAAATAACCAGGATGTACTATAAAATATTTAATTCCCATTTCTGACATGCGAGTGATCTCATTAACTAATAAATCCTTAATGAAGTTATCACTATCTTTTTGGGCCAAATTGAAGATATAAGGAGAGTGCACTACTGATTTATCAAATCTAACTTGATTCTTTAGAGCCAATTTTTTAGATTCGTCTAAATACATATCACATAAGGCGACTCTCTTAATATTTTGGGGAGGCCCCGTAAAAATCATGAATATATCTGCATCATTCTCAATAGTTTCTTTAACAACTCCCACTAAATAATTTCCTTTCTTATTAAGAGAAATATGGGAGCCTAATAAAAGGCCCCCTTTTCTCCTAGATATTACTTATATATTTTTTAAAAAATTAAAGCTCTCCTCCTAATACTTTTAAGAGACTATTAGCTCCTAGTGTTAAGCACTTTTTTCTGGTTGGAGATCTCTTAAAAGCCTTCAAAACTTGAAGGTTTTTACCAATAAGTTTCTCCTCATATTCAAAGCCTCTTAACATTAACAAATAGTTTTTGATAATTGTAAGAGCTTCCCTCCTGGTCTTATTTTCAATTTCTAAACATAAAGAATTTACTGCCGCTTTCATCAAGGCGCAACCTTTGTAATTTAACTTAAGCCCTGAAACAATAGGTTCCATCTGGTCTACTGAAATTCATAGTTCATCAGAACAAGCATCGTTCTGAAAAGAAACTCCATTTTCAGATAAATCCTTAGTATAGAACCTAGAAATTTTTGCTAATCTATAAACTACTTCCTGATACACTAACGCCCTAAGGTGATCTAAACGAAAAATCAAGGGACTAAAAGTCCCTCGAATTAAAGAAAGACTACTCTTCTTTTTTCTTTATATAAGAAGGACAAGCACAACTAGACCCGCAATGGGATGAGTGACAACAAGTCTCCTTACAACAACAATGATGGTGACAGTGACAACAATGATGATAAATTACTGAACATGAAGAAGATGAAGAACAACCTTCTTTCTTACAACCGCAACTAGCGCACATAATTAATAAACCAAAAACTTAAAAGACATTTTTTATTTTAACATAAAGCTTCAATTATTTAATACAAAGTTAATTCTTTTACTAATTAACAAGATAGGGAAAGTTTGCTTTAAATGAAAATTTTCTATCAAGAAAGTGAATATGATTGCGGAATATCCGTAACAAGATCATTAATAAATCACTTCTTAGGAAAAAATGTTAGTAGAACAGAAATTTTTGATCAACTCAATATTTCTCCACAAGGACTCTCCATATTTGAATTGGAAGAAATCAATAAAAAATATGGAATTCACTTAGAATCCTACAAAGTTTCTCTAGAAGAATTGCAAAAATCCAATATCCAAGGTTTTTTCGTAATTCTTTTATATAGAAATAATTCTGAACATTTTGCAATAGCTAAAAAGAAAGGTAAATCCTTTACAATTTATGACTCCGCATTGGGAAAAATAAATATTAGTTTACAACAATTAACTTCCATGTTTGCAGAAAAAATCCTCTTAATTCAAAAAATTGAAACTAATAAATTAACTCCTGTTGTCAACTATGAAGAAAAAGAAATTTCGATTCTTCAAATAAACAGATTGTGAAAAACCACTAGCATTTCTCTCATTATTTTTATCTTCTTAATACTTAGTTTTGCAGCACACAAATTAATTTTTGAGGATGTAATACAAAGTTACCATTGAGGGAATATTTCAGTATTTTTATTTATTTCTTTTTTCCTTATATTCATATGATCCTTAGGAGAATATATCAAAGAAATTTTTCATATACAAGATAAACAATGATATTTAAAACATCTCTATTCTTTGTTATTTGAAAAATTAGAGAATAAGAAAAATTACTTTTTCTCTAAATTAGGAAAAAATCAACTACTACTTTTACAAAATCACATTCAAAACATTTCTCTGTTTTACGGAGAAATACTTAGTTCTCTCATTTCTGGAATACTTATTTCACTATCTTTAATTTTTTATCTAATTTATTTACAACCCTGATTTTTAGCAATAATTTTCATTATGGTGGTTATTAAGGTTATCAACTATAAATTAATTAAAAAATGAGATTCATATCAATTTAGTCAAAATCTGAAAAGCAATATAAACATTCAAAAGATGTTATTTTCTCTTAATCGATTTACAAATAGAGAATGAAATTGAGATAAATTTCTCTTTTTTAATAAATCAATAAAAAATGAAATTACACTTTATCAATTAACAGAAAAAGAATGTAATTATAAAAAGATTTTGTATTCCAAAATAAATTTTTTTATTACTCATTCAATTAATATTGCCATTTATATTATGAGTTGTTATTTTTATTTTCGAGATAACATCAGTCTCTCTAATATTGTTTTATCTGGGATGATCTACACTCAACTTAATGGATATCTAGACAAAATCATTTCAACATCTATTCACTGGGAAAAATGTTCTGAGTCTCTAAACCAACTAAAACATTTCATATTCAATGACAACATTCTAAATAAGAATAAGTTAACGATTACGCTTCCAAAACTAATTACACTGCAAAATTTGCAATATCACAATGGAAATAAAACTGTATTTGAAAACCTTAGTTTGAAAATCTTTCCCGATACTTTCTTAATGGGAACTTCAGGAATTGGGAAAAGTACTTTATACAAGTTAATTGCCTCTAAATTTCCTTGTGCATTAAATTCAATTTATCTAGATAATCTTGCTCTTTCTAATATTTCTGAGAAATTTTTAAATCAAACCATTATCTATCAAAACTCACAAACAGAATCTCAGGAATTTGAATGATCAAGTTTATCTAATTATCTGAACTCCGATCAAATAGAAAGAATAAACACTCTAACTCAACGGATTGGTATTTCTTTTGGACAAACTATATCAGAAGAACAACTTAGCGATGGTCAGAGACAACTAATTAATTTACTAAACTTACTGAAATTTTCTGAAAAAATTTTACTACTCGACGAAGTTACTTCCCATATGAATTATGAAATAAAAAAAGAAGCATACTTAACAATTTTTCCTTTATTAAAATCAAAGAATTTTGTAATTTGTTCAGATCATAATACTGAATTTAAAAAATTCTTTAAACATCAAATAGACCTTAATCAGATAATCCGAATCTAGGAATTTTATTAAAAGAAGCTATTTCTATTTTTTCTTGTGCTTCTGGAATTTTTGCACTTTCTGGATTTGCAATAAAAATAGATAAATTCGAATCGAATCATATTTTTAAAGAAGAGGATACTCAAAAATTGAAAATGCTACTATCTTTTGATAGTTTGAATAAATTGAAATTAAATTCTGGCAGTGATTTCAAATATTGAATAGGACAACGGAATCAAATAAAAAAGATTTCTCATATTGATACTAGATATAACCATGCAGAGATAATTTTTGAAAATAAAAGAGACTCAATGTATGATGAATCTCATTTTGGACCTGTCAAATATTATTTAGAGTCAAAGTCTTTTTGGATGAACTTATTTAGATAATATGGCGGAAACTAAGGGATTCGAACCCTTGCGCAGCTTTTGGCCGCCTAACATCTTAGCAGGATGCCCCCTTAACCACTTGGGTAAGTCTCCTCGATTGAGATGATAACCCTTCATTACAGAAAAGTATTTACTTATTTCCCCCATCTTGGGGGAAAAAGTAGTTTAATTTATCCTTCTAAATCTAAGGAAGGAAGAACAACTCTGTTGTAATATTCTTCCTCTGTCATTCCTGATCTCTCAGCTGCTAACATATTCTCCTTCTTTTTTTTATATGTGTAGGCATTGGCTGCCAAGGAGCATAGGTTTACGAAAATAAAGCATGAATCAATAGCAACCCATTCTGTCGGAGGCTTTCCTATTAGAGAGAACAATGAACTAGTACTCATCAAAATTGCTGTTCCACAAGAAAAAACCATAAATTTTACTTCTAATCCAGAAGTGTTTTTTGTTACTCATACTGTCTTACAGTGATAATAAGTGGCTATAGAAAGAAAAATAGCTCCTAACCCAGTAAATCCGGAAGATATTCACCCGTGTCATTCGGTTAATACGGGTAAAACATTGTATCAGCTGAACAATAAAAACTAATACACCTTTTTACCCCGAACAAGGGGATTTAAATAATATTTACAATAATTTTCCTCACTAATCCCTAGATTTCTAGCTTTCTGGCAATTGGCCATTTTTAAATAAAAAATGTAACCACATGTGAATAGTAAAAAAGTATTTATATAGATGAAAGCCATCAATCTTATCAATTTTACTGTAGTCCCTCCTGAGGCCAATCCAGGA